ATTATAATCTCTAATAAGTATTGTGATTTGTAATTAATAAATTTTGTGAGTTTTGACCATACAATTGGGTTGTGTTACCTACTTAATAGGAAATTATATTTTTAAAAAGTCAGAAAATATCAATTTTGAAGAAATTTATTGTGGCGGCACGTCTATGTCAGGTTCCCGTTGATGTTACTGGGTCTAAAAGTTTTTTTTTTTTTAATTCGGTGTTCGATATTAATATTAGAGCTCTAATTAATTTAAATTTGCATTCATGTAATATCTATTTTTTATATGATCATTCAACTAATAGTTAATATCTCAGAAAGTTAATTTATTTGTAAAAGAAAAATGGAATTAAGAAGAAAAAATGACTTTCTGAAATAATAATAATTGATAGTTAAGTGATCGATGAAAAAATCAACCTTACCAATTACATGGCTATTACACATTGTTTCATAATGTGTCGTACTTTCTTGTTTTAATGAATACAATTGAATAGCTTATATCGTTTTTCACCGTTAAAGGATAATACTACAAGAAGAAGAAAAAATAGGGTATGGTATAGTAACTCTATATTAAGGTAAGATAAATAATAAAGTATGATTATTAACTAATAAGTCAATAAAAATGATAAAAAAAGAAGAAGATGTAACTACACCAAATTAGTCGTTACATGAAACAAGACATTTCATTGTTTCATAACGATGAATTTAACAATGCGATACAATAAAATTTAAATAAATATTATATATATTCAAACTAAATGGCAACCATCCAAACATACTTAATGCTTACACAAAATTGGGAAAAATCAAAGATTCTGTATAAATAATAGTGTCTTGAATAGTATGTGTAAATATATCATCATCATTCAATGGCCATATTCGATTTTTGCATAATTCAAATGCTCCATGGGATATTCTATTATATACCACATTTCCACAATTTGTTCTTGAACTAAGTAACACTTGCTCATCTGAAAACATGTATATTGGTATTATAAACACAATTCCATTACATGGAATAGTGAATCAAGAAAGGACAACAAATTTTTTTTCTATTATACCCTTATTTAAATAAAGTTGTCATAAATAAAGTAAATAAACTTATGAACTTTTCAACATTGATTAGTTATCTTGAGTTAATTTATTTTGGAATTGTAAATTGTACTATAAGGATAAAATTGTAACTTCACTATGCTAATCATTGTTGTCTTAATCTGTGTGTCATTTCTAAAGTGGACAACTAAATAGGGACGGAGGAAGTAATAAACAAGGGTAGGAAACTTTATTTAATATATAACTCTAAAACTCTCTATATTGAAAATATATAATAAGGCACTGCTAATTATAATACCAACAAGCTAAATTAAACTGGGATTAGAAAACCTAATTAAATAAAGGGCAAATTACATAAATCACATACTTTTAAGGCAAAATTATAATTTATCCCTTAAAAGTTTATAATTACAGAAATCCCTCAAACGGATACAATAATATAAGCGCTGATACATTAATCTGATGCGCGAGATATAATAATATAAGTACTGATACATGCACGAGATACAATAATATAAGTGTTGATACATTAATCTGATGCGCGAGATACAATAATATAAGCGCTGATACATTAATCTGATGCGCGAGATACAATAATATAAGCACTAATACACTAATCTAATGCGCGAAAATGAGGGATTTTGGAGATTTGTAAAACTTATAGGGGATAATGATAATAAGTAAACTAAAAAGTGGAATTTCTGTAATTTTTCCTTAAATAAATACAAAAAATAGTAAGGATTTCTACTCTTGGAATTAAGCTAAATAAATTATTTTCTTAATGAAAATCAAAGAACCCAAATTAACATTTGCCATTTTCTTTTCTCCATTTTTTCATAATTCTATAACATGAGTTTAGGGTCCATAAAAAACAACTACGAAATTGTTGACTTCTTTACTTTGCCTGGTGTTTGGATTATTGTTGGTGTGACATTTTAATATTGATAAAAACATATTATATGTTCATTATGTATCATGTTATTTTCATTATATTGGTAGACATTACATTTGTGCCTCTTTACTCTCATCAATTGTTGAAGAATGTGGTCATTAGTTACAGTAACTTTTGTAACCACCATTATACCCATTAATATTCTACCTCGCTCTTATTCTTGCAACCTATGTAACATATAGGCATATATCTTCCTATTCATTGCAAGGAAGACTCCGTATGAGAAAGAATGCAAGAAAGATGACAAAATATTGTAGTCAAAGAGAGAATTGGATTCACTATACAAAATAGTGTGATTACACCATTGATCATCAACTTTCTTTCAAGATTTTCCAACCCACTGGCTAGAGCCATCATCACCTACACTTAGATGTGACCTTAACAAGGAATTAATATGAACTACCTTCCATAGAGTATTCATCTAGTAGCATACAAGAAAGTAATTTTATAGAAAGGGTTTTCAGTCTTGGTGAAAAAAATTCTAATAATTTGAATTTTATCACCAACCCTAAGATTGTATTTTTTTCAAGCAATCTAACCCTAGGTTAGTGATTCTAAGTAGAATATCCTCAAGCTTCACCCCTTACTCTTTTGTCTTCAAATCGTGGCATGTTGCATATCACTCCATTTTCCATTTTGACCGATACAATCTTCATCAGATAGTGTTTTTTCAAACACTATTTCATCCTCATTAACCCTGAAAAGAAGTTAGGAAATTGCTTAATTAATTAATCAAAACAAATTAATTTATGATGTATACTTGACTTCATGAGAATATTTAAAATTACAACAAGAGTGATCAATGAGTGGAAGTTAATACTGAAACTCTTAAAACTATAGTGTTTCCAGACAAGGTTAGAGGAATTATAACCATCTCCCCACACCTCCGATCCCCACACTTTATGGACAGTTTCATAATCTTTTATTCGGGATTGAGGAAACTATCTCGAAAGATACAATCTTGAAGACATTTTTTCTTCAGGAGCTTGCATGGTGCACATGCTCTTGTATCTGCCATTGATATATATTCGGAGGACTTTTATTTTAAATTTTTCTTGATTTATGAATTGAATTGGAGGAGAGGGGTTTATATAGGTAATGGAAACTGAATTCCTCATACCGACACCAATTTGATGTTGAATTTTTTTTTGATAAAATAAACCTGATTTCATATGGAAAAAAATTTATCCGAATTTATTTATTTTTGTCACCAAAAATTAAAAATAAAACCTTTATCATTAATTAATTTGGAGAACACTGAGGTATGGGCTCGTGATTAGTTCAAAAGCTAACTCACACTCAAAATTACATTAATACAATCATATGTTGTATTATGTATCGTATTTACTGTTACATAATACCATACATCAACAATTTGAATGATAATAATTTTAACATTAATTTTACAAATTTTAAAAAATTACTTGTGTTTTTTCCAATACTTAGTACATATAATATAATGTGATATTTTAATATGATATAATGCATTTAAATCAACAAACACCTAATAGTAATGTTATTACTTATATTGTTAATGATTAATTCAAGTCAATAAGATGTTAATATGTTTTGCAAAATATTACCTTGGATCTTGTTGTGAAAAACCTTATTTGCTAATATAAATATTTGAGTAGTTTAATTCATGGTATAAAACATTTCCATTCATAAAGGAAACAATCTTTCTTTATTTTTGTTTATAAAACTTTGTACTTTTTTACTACAAACTTTAATAATTTCTAAGTAAAGATTAAAGGAAAAACTACCTAATCAGACATACTTCACTATGTGTTAAAATATTATGTATATTACCATTAATTAAGAGTTTCTTATGTATCTTGCACTTAAATACATGTATTTTTGTTACCATATACACAAAAATAGGGAGAGAAGCGAGCGAGATTGGGAAGGGAGGCGAACGACATTCGTGTGTATCCCCGATACATGCGAATCAAACTATAGATACACACTAGATCCATGTATCTATATGTATTTGGAGAGATTCGCATGTATCTGAGATATTAGATACATAGGCGAGTGACGAACGAGATGGGTGAGAGATTTGCTATGTATTCCAAATACATGTGAATCCACTTGAATACAATGTATCTAGAACAAATTACACCTAAATTTGATCTTATGTATCAGAGATACATGTATTTGGACGTATCTAGAAGCAACAAAATCTGATAAGATACGTAATATTGCAAACTAGAGCTAAGTAATTAGATCCTATTACGTTCCCCAAAATTGAATTATAAAATCTCTATCAAACAATTTTTGGGGCCCAAAAATTTTGAGGGTCTAAACCAAAGGATTTACTGGCCTCACCACATGGCCCCACCGAACATGGATCTATTACACTATGTTTCGTTTGGCATGGTCTTGATTTTTCTCTTCCAAAACAATTTTATTGATTCAATACAATAGGCGAAAAGATCGTGCAGTTTCCTATCGAGACAAACTCTCAACGGACTACTTTTGCCACAATCACCACCATGCTACCTAACCTAAAGGAGGAATAATTGCCCCAAAAATTGATAAAGAATCTCATTTTTTGGTAGAATCGAAGAAAACTGAATAGGGGTCGAGACGTTGACTCAAGGGTCCCACAAATAGTTGTCTATTACACGGCTTACTAAACTAACATTTTTAATGATATTTTAGAACTCTAAATTTGATTATACTACTTTATGTAGTTATTCAACCCTAAAGGTAATATGAAAAAGATATAATATGTAAGACTTGTTCGTTACAATGGACAAATAAAATAAAGGGAAAAAGGACAAATATATCCTCGAACTTTCGAAACGGAGGGAGTATGTTTTTCCGCCCCAAAACAATGCACATTTGAGTGTTGATAGATCTATCAGAGACATCATCTAGGACAAACAAAATTACTCAAAGACATGTTTGAATGAACTTTGCCAACATTTTACTGTCTCCGACTATTTTTATTTGTCCATTATACAAAAAATAAACGTCTACTTTTGCTTGACATAGACATACTATTTACATGTACAATTCAGTTCATCCAGGAAGTAAAAGTCAGTGAAATCCAAAACTTTTTCCTGGAATTTCATCTGCAAGTTCATCTGCTTGAGTGTTGTATGGATTTCACGAATTCTTGGATGAGAGATATCCCCTCCCAGAAAATAATGCACCTTATTTTCAATCTCTGTCCAACTATACGCCGGTTGCTTTCTGATCCCATGTTCTTTCATCAACCCTCTCACTCTCGTGACCTCGCCCCACATACCTGCTTCAGCGTATATGTTAGATAACATAATGTAAGGCCCTGAACTATCACCGCCTAATTCCATGACTCTCGTTCCAGCAAGCTGTCCCAGTTCTACATTGGAATGAGCGCGACATCCAGCAAGAAGGGCACCCCATGCTGCTAAATCAGCTTGAAAAGGCGATTCTTGGATAATGTTGTAAGCCTTGTCTAGCTGACCTGCTCGTCCAAGTATATCAATCAAACAAGCGTAATGCTCTGGTCTTGGAGTAATGTTGTAGTTTTTCATCATTGAATCAAACCACGAGACGCTCTGACTAACCAACCCTGCATGAGCACAAGCAGATAATAAGCTGAGGAATGTTATACCATCTGGTTCACATCCTCTGAGAACCATTCGTTCCAAAAATGCAACTGCTTTCTTGTACAACCCGTGCTGTGCAAATGCAGCAATTATAGTGTTCCATGAAACGAGGTCTGGGCTTGTGATAAGTTCAAAAGCTAACTCACACTCAAAAATGCTGCCACATTTGCTATACATAGTAATCAGAGCATTACACGCGGAGACATTGGAGTCCGCCCCATGTTTAATAACAACTGCGTGAGTTTGTCTACCAGCTACAGGAGATGCGAGAGCAGCACATGCAGAAAGAACTGAAGCACATGAAGATTGATCTGGTCGAAGAGACATCCTAAGCATCTCGACCAGTAACTTGAGTGCCTCTTCGCTGTGTCCGTTTTGTGCATAACCTGTGAGATACCAATTGAATCAATACAGAGAATATAGTGGATTCACACCTGATAAACAAATTACATTAAGAAGTCGTCACATATACAATATGCTGATATACAGATACTCAAGCTTGGCTCCGCTAGCAAGTAAGCATTCCAACTTTGAGAGTTAACATCTAGACACCTTAACTTGCAACTAAATATTCCAACTCGTTCCCACTGTGTCTCAAGGATACATGACGTTAACATGACACATAATTTTGGAGTTTCCTAGATGATCATTTTGTAAGTTTAGTGTTCAACTAACACAATGGAGACAAGCTAAAGTCTCTAGATGTGCATACCTGAAATCATGGCATTGTAAGCAACGTTATCTTTAAATAGTATTCCATCAAACAGAATCCTTCCTTCCTCCACCCGCCCCTCCTTGCAGTACCCAACAACCATCGCTGTCATTGCAACCACATTCTCATTCTTATCTGGCATTTTTTGGAACAGTTCCTTTGCCTCATCGAAACACTCGTTCTCTACATACCCACTAATCATCACAGTCCATGAAACCTCATTTTTATGCGGCATACGTTCAAAAAGTAACCTTGCCTTATCAATCTCACCTTTCTTCATATACCCATCAATCATTGCAGTATAAGAAATGACATTCTTTTTTGGCATCTCATCAAACAACCTCGCTGCTTCCTCCATCATGCCATACTTACAATAACCTGAAATCATCGCGTTCCAGGACCCAACATTCCGCTCAGGCATAGTTCTAAAATACATAGTAGCATCATCAATGCAATCGTTTTCCACACAACCCGCAATCATTGAATTCCAAGACACTACAGTCATCTCTGGAATTGATACAAAGAGTTTCTTTGACTCATTGAGATACCCATTTTGCCAATAGGCCGTAATCATTGAATTCCAAGAAATTACATCTCTCTCCAACATTTCATCAAACACCTTCCGGGCATGTTGAAGTTTACCCTGTCGTGCCAATTTGTTGATCCTGATGTTGCTCGTGTACACAAGTTGAGATGATTTGGGGGGTTTTCTGGTAAGGCGGGAAGTATAACGTTCAAAGGTAAGGAAGCAATGGAGGAATTTTTTGAGCTTGGAGCTCGGAAAATGGCGTACAATCATTAAAGATATGAATGAAATAAACAGTTTTATGGGTCAGTAACTAACACACATGAAGTTGTTTGAGTTAGGGGTAACGTCCGCGCGTACAATGTATTATGTGTTTCAATTTTGCTCAACATAATGTGAGCTATACTCCACGAGGAGTCAAATCAAAGCAACTATTTTGCTCAACATAATGTGAGCTATACTCCACGAGGAGTCAAAACAAAGCAACTACTAAGAGACAAGTCAATTACTCTTTCTAAGAATTGCATATGCAAGTTGATATATCACACCCCACAAAGAATACTTCCTTAAACATTGTTTAACTTGACTAAGGATAAATACAACGATACCAACCATTCAATGGCAAGCACAAAGGCTTCATCCTACTTGAATTCATCATACAATGATAGCAACCATTCAATATCAAAACTCGAATTTGACCCAAAAATTGTATCCCACAGCTAATAGCAAAGACTATGAACTCATGGATATACAAGTTGAAGAGAGACAATATTACCAAATAGTAGTTGAACTAACCATTAGATGCAAATTTTGAAACATTGTTCAACACCAGAAGTGTGACAACAAAAACATCAAGAGAGATTCAAACAGATACTACGACTTTCTGCCCCCCAAACAGAACAACAATTACAGCACACCTCCATCCCACCTTACAAAAATAAGCATCAACATAGAACATTATCCCTACTATTAGATTTCATTACCAACTTTTTAAGTCTTCACAAAAAAAAATCTAAAAAAAGCAACAATAAAACTGCCATGGTTGATCAACTTAAGCACGCTCGCCCCTGATACGCCTAGCAAGCTGAATGTCCTTGGGCATAATGGTCACACGCTTGGCATGAATGGCACAAAGATTGGTGTCCTCAAACAGACCAACCAAGTAGGCCTCAGCAGCCTCTTGAAGAGCTAACACAGCATGACTCTGGAAACGCAGATCAGTCTGAAACCAAACGAGACACACAGAGAACCAATTAATCAAACACGTAAACCATAAGAGCATACACCCCAATGTACCAATGACACAATATAGCACAAAATTTACCTTGAAGTCCTGGGCAATTTCACGAACAAGCCTCTGGAAGGGAAGCTTCCTGATCAAGAGCTCAGTACTCTTCTGGTACTTACGGATTTCACTGCACAATATCAGAAATTGTAATAGGTAAATACACAATTGATCAACATGAAACAAGTAATTTACTCCATTCTACTAATGATCAAGAGAACATGACAATTACAGAATCAACATCTTCATCCAAAAAAGTACAACCACCAATACTTACCGAAGAGCAACAGTACCAGGGCGGTATCTGTGAGGCTTCTTCACTCCACCTGTAGTAGGAGCAGACTTACGAGCAGCCTAATTCAAATAACATACAATGTTAGATATCAACCAACAACATACATTTCACATAAGGACAGCTAAGTAAAAAAGAAAAACCTTGGTAGCAAGTTGCTTCCTAGGGGCCTTTCCTCCAGTAGACTTACGAGCAGTTTGCTTGGTACGAGCCATCTGAAAACAACACAGCCAATACTTCCACAATTACAACAAAAACAAAGAAAAGAATAAATTTTGCAGTAATAACCTGCACCATAAGAGCTTACAGAAGAAAAAACATACAGAATTAACATCAAACACTAAACAAAGATCCAATTTTGCTCTACAAACTTAAAGATTGTACCAAAATTTTCTTACTAAAAAACAAAGACTCAAATATCACTACTAAACAAAACATTCTGTTCTTCCATAAACAAATCTTAAAACCAGCCACACCACAAAGTACACTAAATTAAGAACAAACCCCAAATTAAGATTCAGTTTCTGTACAAAACATACATATTCTATAACCCAAAAATCCCCAAGCATATACATGCTCACATAAGTCTAGAGAATTAACTACAAAAACACAACTATAGAAAACAAAACCTAAATTACTGCTCTGATTTGCTTGAGCCAAGTCTCTTTCGGAAACAGCTCTGTTTACACTCTACCCTCCCCAAACCCCACTTTACAGAACTCCACTAGGTTAATTGTTGTTGAAAGCACTCTAAATATAATTTCATAGAAATTCCTAAATTTACAAGCAAAAATTCAAACCAATTCAAGAACAAACATACACAATTTTTCTCTAGTCTAGGAAATTAACAACAGAACCCCAATTACAAATCAAAAAACCACCCATTACACTACAATAAATTCCAAGATTCCAAACGAGAGATAATCAAATATTCAAAAGATCCAACACTTGATCAAAAACCCAATCTTTAAACACAAAAAAGAGCAAAACCCCAACTCAGATAATCAGAAACCCTAATCATAAAAATGCAAACAGATCAAAATTGACTTGAAATACAAACAACAATTCAAATAATTAACCGCGCGGAAAAGAAAATTTCAAAAATAAATAATAAAAAACTCACCTTTTTTCTTCTCTTCTTCTTCTTTGTCTGCTTGGTGAGCGAAAGTTTTCAAAGATCTACAGGTTGATACCTATATATATTTTTTTTGTGTGGAAGACGACGAAGGATAAAAATGGACGGTTGAGATTTGTTTATCTCTGTGTTTTCTTATTAGGTATCGACGGTTGTTAATGGTGCTAGTTGTGTTTTCTCCAAACTGATTGGACGGTTAAGATTTATGGAGAAGGAAAAGATTTGACGGTTGAGATTGGAAGTTAGTAGTTTGTAGTGGATTGAGAGGAAACAATACTCGATTCTTATTGGTTGAAATTTGTTGAGTGGTGTGGTATTAGGATGGTTAACTCCACTAAACTAGAAAATAGGAAGCTATATATTCATATTTGGAATATGACATGTTACGTGAATATTGTAGGTTAAAAACTCGGTATAAGTAGTTCTATACGTGGAATTATTTTGAGCAAATATGTTAAGATGAGTCTCGTTAATCATATCTATATAATTGAATGTTTATAGATTCTGCATAGCTGTCATGAATTCATTGTATCTCATACGTTCATTTAAAACCTCTTTGAATTGTCATGAATTGATGTTTTATGTGAATATCATCTACTGAAATTTCATTCTAAGTAGTTGTACATATGAAATTGTGTTGAGCGAATACCGTTAAATCATTTTAATCTATTATGTTTTTGTTTTGATGAATAAGTTAAAATCATTCTAATCTATCATTGTTTAGTTTTGAGCGAATACGTTAAAACCATTCTAATTTATCATCATTTTTGTTCCGAGCGAATACGTTAAAATCATTCTAATCTATCACCGTTTTGATTGCAAATTTGGATGTTTACAAAACCTCCCTAAATTGCCATGAATTCATTGTATTACATACATGCATTTTAAGTCTATTTTTCACCACTTACTTACTTACCTCTTAACAAGTTATATTAAATATACTTCACCTCACATTTGATTGAGAATTTTGATCTAAAAGGAGTTATTGTCCATGGAACTTCACCTCCTATTTGATTGAGAATTTTGATCTAAAAGGAGTTATTGTCCATGAATAACAAGAATATCCAATAATTTAAACATGAGACTCGTGAAATAATAATAGTTAGGAGAGCATGAATGTCAAACGCCACATCTGATCATCTCTTACTTCTTCCCTTTAAAGAAAGAACGAAATGGTGAATGGAACATGTCAAATTGCACTATGGTGAAAAACGTATTTAATATATTGTCGATGTATATAACTTAAATTGGTTCTTTTGGTCATCATCAAAGTAGGAGGAGAACTGAATTGGAGTAAATTTAGAACACAAATTGGAAGAGAAATTGCTCAACTAATAATTAAAGAATTCAACCGCCAGCTTCTATAATACAGGATACATATGAACAAATTAGCACTAATTCCTGTAGAAACCAAAAAAAAACTGAACACAAAAACTCAAGTGAACCCTTCTATTAGCAGCGCACAGTATCACCAATCAAATGCTCGGCTATTGAAAGACTAAATAATGAAGAAGAAAAAAACCCGAAATTTCTGCACATGAAATGAGAAGATATTGATGTAAACTAAATAAACCGATCACCTAAAAAGAATGTGTTTGTACTTCCAGCCAGCACTTTGGTAACCACGGTGTCTGACTGGTAAGTTTCTGGATCTCTTTACATCATAAAGGGAGCACATATATCACGTCTCAAGAATGTCAAAATCGAAAACAATCTCCAACTTTTAGAAGCCTTGCAAGTCGTTTGATAGATGGTTGAACAGTTTCAGAGTCTGGTGAGAATGTATCAGGAAGCTTTGGGAGACAAACAGGCAAATACTCATCGCCACGTTCATGCAAGCAGAATAGACCGAGCACAGCACGACAGAATATGAATCTGCACAGAAGATACAAGAAAGCATGTTGTTAGTATCTAAGTAGGCTCCTGTGGCAACTTGTAACAGTATTTCAATTGGTTGAAACAGAAAATGCTTACCTGAGAATAAGCCGTCTCAGAAAAGGGTCAGACAGAACTTGAGCCCAAACCAAATCTAGGTTAGTCAATGTACAGAGGATTACCTCCCACTCTGCAAATGCAGTTGAGATGATGCCATCAGCCTCATCAGAACAATCCTGAAGAGCAGTAGTGTGAAAGTTAGACCGACTTACAATTGCTCGGTAAAGCAACTAGCATTGCTGTGTACTTACCAAATCTTTATCAGATGAGACAAGGCCAACCAACTGGCAGAAAGCCTGTAAAGGATCAGCCAAGAACAAGGTGAACTGACTTCCAGTTTGAGTTACATCAGTGCCAGGATTCCTGAATGATGGTCTCAGAGGAGAGAGAAATAAAGCACTTTTTTCTCCTCTTTCTGCCCCATGTAGAACCTGAAGAGCAAAGAGGTGATGTATCAGCGAATAAATAGTCCTCCTCAAAGATAATTTTTAAAATTGAACTTGCAATAAAATAAGTCATACGTGAAATACAATATTTACAACAATAATTTTCCAACCACCCAAACAGATGAGAAGAAAAACAGCCAATACATTCGTATTGATGATTGGTAGGAGAAGAAATTGATT